TTTTGGGACATTAAAATTAAGTGATTATAGACAGGATGTGATTATAAACAGGGTGATTATAGACAGGTCTGACTGTAGTTAAATTGATTGTTCGTTACACGACATAAAACATAAGAAATTGTAATTTGATAATCTATCCACTTTCTACATTTTTTTTTTTTTTAATCACTCGTTCGTTTAATCATAATAATGCAATCTTCCGAATCAAATAATACAAATAATGATGATAAGTCATTAAAAACTCAAGAACAGAATCAAATCATAACGAAGGTGAATGAACCTATTCTTGAGACTTTGGCTAAAACCCCATATCCGGTTTGGTCAATGGCAACGTTATGTAAACAAGTTGAAGATATATTCCTTTTCTTTTTTTTATTAAAGGAAGAATGAAAATGATTCATTTTACTAAATATTATAGCTAATTAGGTTTAGGTTCGTCAGGAATCATGGCAAGGAATTATCCTGGGATGCCTTCAATGTGGACATGTTTAGGTTTTAGTCTAATATTTTCTTTTTCGGGGTATTTATAATTCTTTTAAAAAAAAATAAATAAATATTTGACACAGTGTTTTTTTTTTGTTCGATGACTAAAAATACGTGAATTTTCCTTAGGTATATGACCTATACGGGTGATTTTTATAATGGGGCAGGAACTTCAACATGTTGGTATATTGATTTCTAAAAACATGATTGTATTGATATTCAACAAATTTATTCAACGAAAAAAATTTTTTTTTTAATAGCTTGGTCATTGATATATAGTTTATTTAATGTTGAAAGATCCTTTAAATCAAGGAAACCTTTGCCTATTTTAATGTCTTCGCTCGCGTTATCTAACGCTTATATTTATGGAAAATATTATTTCTTTTAATTAAAACAAAACGTGCGACAATTGTTCAAAGAAAAACCGATTTGATATAACAATTTTCTTTTGATGAATCGATATTAAACATCAACATCGATCATTAGTAATTTACAGTCACTTCAAAATTTGCATCCAAAAAACAAAAAAGTATTAAATTGAAAAATAGGTAGGTAAAAATTTTGTTTTTTCATTCATTAAATTCATTTCGAAAAGAAAAAATTAAGTCGATATAAAATGATTACAAATAATAAAATTTTTTTTCTGAATAAAATAAACTTTTTACAAAAAAAGATAATTATTTTTTTTTTTTTTTTTTGAAGAAAATTATACATTGAAAGTAAATTTTTTTTTGGGTATCATAAGAATAATAAAAATGATGTGATGGTAATTTTTTTTTTCTTTCGAGAACGAATCTTTTTTTTTTAGAAAAATATTTTGCGATAAAGATCATTAAATACTAATCTTGTTAACGCATGTATTGTTAAAAGTTAAATAATGTGGGTAATAAGTAAGGAAAGAATAAGTAAAGAATAAAATATTCCAATAATAAGTATGTCAATAAAATAATGTAATTGACTAAATAAAATGTTAAATATATAGATATAAATATAAAAATATCAATAAAATAATTCAATAATTGTTTTTGAAAATAATTCAAAAACTCTTAAGCATAAAAATATAAGTGGATAATATATAGTAAATAGTATAGTCAACAGTAAACATAGGAGTAAAACATATGCGAATAATAATATATAAAATAAGAATGAGAGAAAAAATATCTACAAAGAAATTTTTCGTAAAGAATAATTATTTATAAGAAAGAAAAAAAAATAATGAATTTCAGTGCGTGTCAAGACCAGCTTGCGTACATTAAGTTGAGAGTATCAAGTGCAAGTTGGCGCCGCCGAATCGTCATGCGTATTCATCATTCTCTTGACCAATTACAACGCTTGAACCTTGAACGTCTTGTCTACAATTATGATTTATTTCATTATCTCGCTGATTACTTTCACCTTGATTTCCTTCAATTCCTTCTGGTGTTGGAGAAGGTACCTGCTTTTGTCTAAAAGTACCGCTACTGCTTGAGGGGATCTTTCTTAATCCTTTATCGTCTCTTAGATTATCCGAGATGGTTTCTCCATATCCATTTGGTACATCATAACCATCTTCCGGTTCGAATTGATTTACGGGACGTCTTGAATATTTTCGATCGGTCTCCAATCCAGGAAATAAACGTCGATCTATGGGAGATTGACCATCAGAAGGATACCTACGATTAAATTCATATAATCGTGATGAAGGTGGTCTTGTTGTTGTTACTGTACTATTTACATATTCTTCACTAAAAATGCGTGACCTTCCCGATGAAGAACGATGATGAGATGATGTGCGAACGGGATGATTAAGAGGATAAGATGATTCGTCGGTTCGGGTAAATGATGATGGACGTGATGCGGTTCTCTGATATGCTGAAGTAGCTGGTTGAGGTGAAATGTTGTTATATCCTTGTAGGCTATATCTTTGTAAACGAGGTAGTTCACGTGATGCTTCACGTGGAATTTCGCGTTCATAATAAGCACGCGAATTCGGTTGGTCATAATGAGTGGGTGGATGTTGCATTGGTGGTGGTGAAGGTGATGATGAAGCAGGATGTGTATTAGAATACGAACTATATGCTGTTCCAGAAGAACGTCGAGATTTGCGTAACCCATAATCTGATAAACGTGAAGCTGACATTTGTGGATCATTATAACTTTCTGGAAGTAAAGTTGGTGAGGGAGGTCCTGATACACGGTTATATCGTGATGTGATTCGTGGTTGAGCATTATAATAAGAATTTGGAGGAGAAGATTGTTCCGATGGAGGAATTGGTGAAACTCTCTGTGAGGAGGATTGATCAACATGTTCACCAATCTGTGATTCATGATTTAATTCAGGACCAGGAACCGGAGCAGATGATACTCTATGTATGGGAGAAATGGATCGTGCAGAATGTGAAGGTGTAGGCATTTGTAAGGATGAATCGCTAGGGTAATGAACATGTCCAGACATTTTCTTTGTCATTACTCTCTTTGGGGCAAGAGGAGCAAGTGCTAATAAACATTCAGTCAAACTTCGAACTTGTTCATCACTTGTTTTTAATAATGATTTCAATCCTTTGTCAGGATGTTGTACATCAAGTTCCATTTGCTGTGATAAAACTGAACGCAACTTTTGGTTTATAAAAAGTGCCGATGAAACTACCATGGCCATTGAATGTGAAGGCGGAGGTGAGGCATCATTTATTAAGTGTTCTGTAGAGAACGCTTTTTCGAATAAGTCAAAAGCATTTTGTAAATGTCTTTGATGTTGGGCTGATGCCGAAGAACGTTTTTGAGCGCACGCGATTGAGCTGGCTCCACCTTGGGAACTATCAGGAGACAAAGCAGCTGGTGACATTACAAGTTCGGAATTATGTTTCTTTTTCCTTTGAAGTTTACGTTCTGATATATTATCTAATCAATTAAATGAAAATTAATAAATCAATTATTACGGAAAAAGTAATTCCCTCTCAAAATAAAAAAAAAAATACCATCGTCGACAATTCCGCGTTCCGATTCAAGTTTTTGAATACGAGCCCGAAGTTCCTCTAGCATAATCATAGAATCCGAAGACATTACACTGCTATTATCATCCGGTATATCAGCATATGAATCATCCGTTTGTGTTCGTCGATTCAGTTTAACTGTTTTGGGTGCATCGTTTACTACGTTATAATCATCCAGATATTTCTGTGCGCGTTTTCTACCATTAACGGGTATTTGTTTAACCTGCCCACGATTAATATTCTCTGAAGTATTGTCATTAACTTCGTTTTCAGCAACATCCGATAAAGAGCCCCTTTCTTCCTCAACTGAAGAAAATAATGAATTAGCAGGTCGACTACGTCGATCTGTTATGTTACCGTTATAAAGTTCAGCAGAACTATGACGTGCAGCGCGAAGAGGATTTCTACTTCCACCTAATGTAGAAGCAAGAGGCATATGTGAATTTACAAAATCAAATTCTGAATCAGAAGATTCTGGTGTGATTAATCGTTGTGGTGTTTTTGTAGGTTTAGTATTAACAGTTAACGTAGGATGACTTTTAAAACTTCGTCTTCGTAAAGAAGAGAAATTGTTGTCGTTTTCAAAATCTTTATCATCCATACCACTTGAATTCCCATCGGAATCTGAATTATTTTCAGTTGAAAAATATTTCCAATCCAATTCTCCCCCATTATTACTTGGAGAATCCAACTTTTTTAACTCTTTGACACTACGATTCGCAATTGCAAGTTTTGCCGATTTCCTTGATGATAAGGAATCATCAGCAGTAATTGTTCTTATTTCATTATTATCTTCCATTTCCATTGCATCACCGTTATTCAATGAGTCTGACCTCACTCTTAGTACTGATTGTTGCTGTTGTAAATTGTTACTACGCCTCTGTCTGGATTTTAAATTGTTAACCAGATTATCGATATGTTGTCCTGAACCATTTATGTGTGGAATTGTTTCCAATTGACTATTTAATAAGTTTAAAGTTTGAGATTGTGAATGTTGTAATTTGTTCATTTGGTCAAGAATCTAATTGGGAAAGAAAAAAGGACATAATGGAACACGAATGATCATTGAAAAAAAAAAAAAAAAGGAAAAGAAAAGGAACCAATTATCACCAATTAGCAAAAAAATTTCGGATAAATTGTTTAATTACACAACGGACTAATAATTTATGAAAAGAAAACTTCATTGCTTTTTTTTTTTTTTTTGAAAAATTACTTAATTCACTATATAAACCACTTTTGAGCGGTCTTAAATGTAAAGTTTGGCTGAAGTTTTTATTTACCTCTTGGTTTTTACTTGATAGCGTCGCGATCGTCGCGATCCTATTTTTTGTGGTTTGAAAAGGACCTCGGTGTTCACTAGACGTTGCAGGCGCGGTGGCCGTAGTCATTATATTATTTTAAGTAATTAAATTCGTTTAAGTTTTAGAAGTTTACAAGGTGTAAACTACCGCATCAATAAATTTAGAGTTCGAATTCTGGAAGGAACCCTAAGCCGTTGCGGAGGGGTAATAAGTATTGGCTTGGAGGCCACAGCCAAGTGATCTTAACTTTTAGTTCAAAATAGTTCTGTGAACAAGGCTAAGGAAAAAAAAAAAAGGAAACAGCCCGCTGCTTTATATAGTCTTGGTAAGAAGGTGGGGTATTGAAGATGGCTTAGCAGTTTTCAGGCGGCAAATAATAAAAAGTCGTGATACACAATGATTGCAGGACTTTTAAGAATAACGATAATAGAAGATAATAGAGTTATTTTTCGACGATATTCTTATTGTTCAAAGAAAGGCGAGAAAAAAAAAAAAAAAAATTTTTTTTTTTTTATGAAGTTGGTTTAATTATAAAAATAAAATAAGTTGGGATAAAAAAGAGTCGAAAAAAACTTTTTTTGAATAACTGATGGAAAAAAAAAAAATAATTAAAAGTATATTGTGTTCAAAGGTATAATATAATATAAATAAATACTAGGATAAAAGTAGTAAAGTCAAAGGAGAAAAAAAATCTACAACAAACACTACTCTTTACAGGTATAAAGTGAATATAAAGTCAGGAGACACCAAACCCAAGAAAATCTTCCCTTTCTTTTATACTAAAGAAAAAAATAGTTACTTGTTACTTGTTCTTGATACACTACTTTATTAACTACACATTATATACGACATGATCACAAATTAGTGACATATGAGTTAATTGAATACAACTTGATATCATACCTGCTTTATGCAATTTTTAGGTAGCAAAAGTCAAAAAAATGTTTTTATTATTTTTCCTAAAATTTGTAAACGTATCATGATGTTATAAATAAACTTCTGTTGAAATTCCCCTTTAAGGTTTCGCTTTAATTGGTAATAAATAAAGTATCATTGTGACGGTAATTCCCATTATGATTTTATAAAAACCCTAATTTTCAATCTTGAAACAACATCCTACATGTTCACGTGACTTACATCTTAGCCACAAACAAATTCACCGATTTCATTCAACGAAATTTGAGAGGCATAATATAGCATTATATGCACGTGTCAATCTTTTGAAAATTCAAATACAAAGAAAAAACCTACTTCCTCTTTTGATATATCATTAGAATAAAATTTGCCACTTTAATAAAAAAACCTTTTTTTTTTTTTTTTTTTTTTTCAAATGTTTATCTATCTTTTATATGGTACTATTAACCCCTTCTTTTGAACTGCATGCACGCAAAACGGAAGTTTTTAGCAGCTCAAATTTTGCCTATTGCATGCATCTTTTTTTTTTAATTGAATTTGAAAGAATACGAATTCGGGTTTGATATGTATGAGTCTTCAAATTCATACATTTTGCATACATTATCAAAGAAACTTTCTTCGTCAAAAAGATCGTTTTATAAAGCCTTTTTTTTTTTCAGATTCTTGCCCCAGAACGATCATGTATTTTTTTTAATCTTAATTCTAACCTTTCTCAAATATTATTCTTTCTCCATCTTTTTTTTCATAAGATTATATGTAAGATTTTTTTTTTTCTATAAACTTAGCGTACATACGTTTTAAATTGACCATATAATTGTATGTTGTATGATGAAATGATGCGTTGTCCATTATTTATTATTCAGTTACTTTTCATGTTCACTTTTGAATGTCTTCTTCATATTAGGTGAGTTGCATATATATCTCATAATAAAAATTAATTTTTTTTTTCTTTTTTTTTTGTTCTCTTCCGTTTTAAAATGCAATTTTCAATTGTTCAGTATTGTGATTTATTCGGCCGATTATGAGTTCGTATTGACATAATTTATTAAAAGTTCATTTTTAAATTGATATTGTAAAAGGGCAAATGGCTCGCTCAAATTAGTTTAATTGATACATATACCCTTCATCGAATAAAAGTGACCGGTTCCCTAAAATACATTGGTTAATGTCATGCAAGTGATTTGAAATCGCCGATTTGTCATTAAAGGATTTCCCCCTGGAGAAAAGGAATAAAACAAGTGAAAAAATGAAAATATTGTTTGATTTTGTAACTTTGTCAATTTTGACTATCAAACTTTTGGTAAATAAACCTTTTGGTCTAGTTTATAACTTTCCCAAATTGACAAATAATATCGTCATCCTTCATTGTTCAATCAAAAGTCCAATCATATTGTCTACGCCACAAAAAAAAAAAAAAAAAAAAACGGATTTTTTCGTAATATTAATAAGATTGTCATCAGATCTGCATCAATTGAAAAAAATACTTTGTTGTGAAAAACACTTCTTATTAGGTTAACAAGAATATACATGCATAGTTTTAGGGGGTGAATTTATTAAAAATAATAAATATCCTATTCATTTCGATACTTTATTATTTATTATCTAGCATTTTTTATAAGTTAAATTTTAATTCAAAATATTTAATTTTAACTACATTTAAAATTAGTATATTTTAGTAAATTAGTAAATAATTTTAGTTATAATTAAAAAAAATTACTATTTAGTATTTTTTTTTGTGAATTATGAAAAGATTTCTACTATTTATTATTTTTAATTTATGAATTATATTATATAAAATTTAAAATAAGTATAATAATATAGTAATTTAATTTAAATATCTTAATAGTATAGTATATTAATTATAATCAATATTTTTTAAGTTTTGCAAATTTTTTATTAAAGTTTTAATATAAATTTGTTAAATTTTGCCTATTATTAAATAATTATTAAGATATTTATTATTAAATAAAATACTATTACTATTATACTTTAACGTTAATTAATTTTGATGATATTAAAATTAATTATATTAATTTAATATTTATTATAAAATAATTACATCTGTCAAAATACAATTAATTAGTAATTCGTCAATTCATACTAAAATATAATTACTATTATTTAATTATATAATTTATAAAACAAATTATATGCTATATAAAATAATTAAATCATAAGTTAAAATATTGATTTAAAAGAAATTTTATGATTCAAATAATCTTAGAAACTATTCTTATAAAAAAAAAGAAAAAAAAAATGTTAAAAATATTCTTTTTTAAAGAAAATCTTATTTAAAATTTGCTTTTTAAGAAATAATTTAAAATTTAAATATTTACTAGAAGTTAATTTCACAAAAAAAAACATTATTATCATTTTTTTAAAAAAGAAACTTAACCTATTTAACTTATCTTTTAAGAGCTAACTTAAAAAAATTTTATAATCCAAAAATTTTAGAAATTGTTCTTATAAAAAAGAAAAAACAAAATATAAATAATATTCTTTCTCAAAGAAAAATCTTATATTATTTAAAATCTTTTTTTAAAACTAATTAAGAAAAATTCTAAATTATAAAAATTTTTAGAAATTATTTTCATAAAAAAAAGAAAAAATATTAATAACATTTTTTCTTAATAAAATACTATATATATTTAAAACTTATCAAAAGATATATATTTAAAAAATTTAGAATTTAAAAACTGTTTCTATAAAAAGAAAAATAAAAATAAAAAATAAAGAAAATATATGTAAAAAATAATTAAAATAATAATTAAAATAAATAAAATAAAAAATAAAATAATGAATTATTCTAAATAATAATATACAATCATTTTTCTTTATAGTTATACTCCTTAAAACTAAAAATAAAAATGTGATTATAATAAAAAGTTACTATACAGAAGGATTTTTATATATTGTTACTAAGTGTTAGTTTTGAAAAGGTATAACTATAAAAACATTGTAATTATAAAAATATTTTTTTATAGCATTAATAGATATTAATTCTTATAAAATATATATTTTTATAAGCAGAGTTGATCTTTTGAACTAATAGACTTTTGGACCATTAGACTGCTAGACTAATAGATTTAATCTATTCTAATTCTATTAAAATTTAGACTATTGGACTATAGATTTCGTCTAATAACTATAAATTTTTAGCAATATATAAATCATTTTTATTAATATTTGTTAAAATTTTATTAAATTTACTAGTTATTACTTAATATAAAATTTGATAAATAATTAGATTTCCCTAAACTTTCAATATAAATATCTAGATGTTTTTATTTAGAATTTTGATCTCTATCAGGATGAGGTAAATTTAAAATATTTGTAATATTAATTTTAAACTCTCTATTACCTAAAAAATTAAGATCAGTAGAATTGTACTAGTTAAATGATTTTATTATTATACAATTAGAATAATTTTATTATTAATCATTTAAATTAAATAATTTTATTAAATTTTTAAGTTAGGTTAACATTATAAATTTGGCTAAAATTATAGTATATAAAATTATGATTTAGCTAATATTATATAAGTATAGTCTATTTGAATTAAAATTAGAATAAACATCTTTATTAGGTCCAAAATCCAATAGTCTATTATTAAAAATTGAATAAGATTCAATTCAAATATTGATAATAAGGGATTTATATAATATAATTGTACAGAAGTGACTATAGAAAGGAATGACTATAGTTAATTAATTATATAATTATTTAATATATCATATAAAACATCTTACATTTTTGTTTAAAATAATAAAAAATTTTTTAAAAAATAAGCTTCTTTTTACAACTAGGAAATAGTTTTAAAAACCATTATTAAGTCTAAAATAATATTAAAAATATTATAAAAGTTAATCAATATTAACTCAATTATTAAACAAATAGATAACAAGATACTTTATATAATATATAAAAGTCCTTCACTTTATTTCAGATTAATTATATATATTTAATATATATTATTAATTATTATAATTTAAAATTATTAATGAATTCCTATAAACTTCTAAAATATCAATTATTTATTAATTAATACTAAATTTAAAAATTCTAGATTTAATAAAATTTCTAACTATATATATTATGTACAATGATACAAAAATATCTCATTGTCTGTCTACCTACTATTCGAATCAATGAGGATTGGTAGGTTAGTTTGT